AATCTGTGAGGATGTTTATCAAGAATCTCCAAGGGAAGTATTCAAAGCACTTAAAGTACCAACACAACTCGAATACTTTCAAGGCTATCTATAATATAGGCATTGACATTGAAGATGACCTTCTGAAAGATAATAGTGCGAGAGGAAAGAAGAACGACCATCCTTCTTCTTCCTCTCCCGTTAATGGAGTACATGCTATGAACGCCTCTAAATCACGAATCCTTAGGTCAAAAAGGGTGTTCACTCCACTTGGTATGAGTTATGAAACAACTTTCGAGAAGCTACACCACAAAGGACTAGTCATGCCCATAGGGCCCATCAAAGATCCAGTTCCAGAAGCCAGGCCACCCAAGTGGGATCCTAATGAGCACTACAAATATCACCAAGGAAAGGGTCACGACACTGAGGAGTGTTGGAAACTCAAAGAAGCTATTCAATATCTGATCGATAACAATGAAACTTCTGAGATTCTAGCCATCGAAGAAAATCAAACATCCTTCAATCCATCCCTTCTTATCACACCTGTAAGAGAACCCATGATCGAGACAGCTTATATAACCTCTCTCGATGAATTGGCCATGATTGAGGAGGATGAAATTTTTTTCTTAAATAATACCAAGGAAGACTCGTCAAATCTGAAAGAGGGCGTTCGAAAACCGCAAGATGTCATTTCCATGCTCTTGAATGTGGTAGAAGCACTAGCAAATCGGGTGATGGTCATCGAACAAAATTCTCGCTAAGGTTTTAATGAAGAACTCGATGCTCTTAAGACACAGGCAAAACGGACCATTGATGAGTACACACCAATAGGAATGACTTACGATGAAGCTTTTGACTGTCTTCATGATCAAGGTCATATTCACTTCATTGGTCCCAGTCAAGACCCTCCACCTGAAAAATGTTTTCCCAATTGGGATCCAAATTCCTATTGTTGATACCATAGAGGTCGCGGTCACACTACCGAAAAGTGTCTCGCCCTCAAGGATCGTGTTCAAGACTTCATTGATTCAAATATCCTTCATGTTCCTCCGCGCAACAAGAGAGCATAGATTAGTAACGATAGTAACAGTGGCTGTAAAGGGAAGAAGAACGACTATCCTTCTTCTTCCTAAAAACCTACTCTAGTAACAGTATTGGTACTTTCGACCTTAATGAGATCTTAGCCATGGATAATCGAGGATTTAGAAAGCAACAAAAAAGGGATTTTACCCCTATTTGAATTAGCTACGATGATGCTTTTGGTGTGCCTCAGTCGTATGCAACCAAAAATATCACAACTAAGCTAACTGCAAATAAACGTAGTTAGGGAAGTCGAGTTCGAATCCACAGGGAAAAAGGGACTAATAACTGGAAACCTAAGTGGAAATACTCTAGGACGGTAGTAACCTAAGTAACGAGAGGGGTTTTCACGAGCAATGATGATAAATGAACTAAGTAAGAACAACGAACGTAATGAATAGGTAATCAATGAGAAGAACGGTCTTGGTTATGCGAAATCCACTAATGAACATACAAATTGATCATAGAAGTCTCCTCAATCAAGCTCTATTGAACACCTTGTTGTAGAATTCCTATATTCTAAATTCTCATAAATAGTTAGAAATAGCAAAGCGCTCCTTTCTAACCCTTTCCAATGCACAATTCAAGACAAGCGCTCTAAATTATCCACAAGAAGAAAATAAACGGAGAAATCAACAAGGATTGAATAAATTAACACAAGCGGTCTAATTTCTTCAATAATATTATTCCCTCTTCAAGTTATCAACCAAAAGCATGCATCAATAACCTAAAGTTGCTACTTTGGAAAGATTAATTAGATGCAAGCGAATCCAATAATTCTAACCTAGCAATTGATTAAAGCAAATCATGAAATTAATTCAAGGAACAATATATATTCAATAGATATTAAGAGAAGAAAGATCTCATAATTCGTAGCCAAAAGCTTCAATCTTTAACCAAGAATCCGGAAGATTAAGCTTCCATGGATTCTAATTCCAAAACAAAGAATTCTGAAAATTCCAAGAAAACCCTAGAAAGCTTTTTTTTCTCAAAACTTAATTCTCCTTTTCTAACTTAAAACTTAATTAAAACTAAGCTATTTATATGTTTCTATATTTTAATAACAGAACACAATAATAATAATAAAATAATATCCAAAACACGAGCCAAAACAAAGCCAAATTGCTGAAAATTAACCAAAACAGCCCGAATTTCTGCCAGAGCCGCTGCCAGCTGCTCTGGACCCGCTGGCAGCTGCTCTGGCAGCCCCTCACTCTGGTATACCCGCTGCCAGCGGCTCTGGCCAGCTGCCAGCGGCCCTGGCAGCGGTTCCTGCTGTTTTTTCCTTCTTTCCTTGCTTCTTCTTCTTGCTTTGCTTCACCTTTTCCTCAAGCTTTCTTCCTTGCTCTTCCATGCTCCATCACAACTCTCAAATCACGAGCCAAGGTCCATCCTTCTTACATAACTCTTCATTGGTTCCCGAGCTCACTCACTTATACTCATAAATCCCGCCTTTTGCACATAAGTGAGATCACAGCCCAAAACTCACAAAAGCTAACAAAAGTACATATAAAGCATCAAAACACACCCTAAAATGCTTCTCTCAACCCATGATAAGAAGGCTTATCAAATTCCCCCATGCTTGAACCTTTACTCGCCCTCGAGTAAACTTAGAGAATAAAACACATCCTCCTCACTAAGGTTCAAAACAGAAGATGGTGGAATCAAACTAGCTCTACGCACTCAAACTCAACAAAACATCCTAGTACTTATCAACCAATCACAATCACACTCCCCCATACTTCACACTTTGAATCTCCCTTTTTTCTTATTTATCAATTCATCCCCAAAATCAACTTGGAACGATAAACGCATAGCCATGAGTATGAATATTCTCAACCGCCTAAAGAAATGAAATTTTTGATAAAATTGGGCAAACAAAAACTCCACTTAACCAAAAATCTCATAAAAACACTTCCACATTCAAGAGTGAAAACAAACAACTCATGCTCTCAAATTCCTAAGATGATCAACAAATTCCCCCAAAATCTCAACTATCTCCCAAAATCACCAAGATGAAACCTACCCCGACACCTCCTTATATCTCCTCCCCTTATGACACCGACTCCGGCAAATAGATGCGAAATTTCCTTGAAAAATCAAATTCATGAACATTTCTCTCTTTTTTCTCTCATTTTGCCTAGGAGCCCTTTCGGGTTTTCATCCTAGCCTCTCATCTTTTTCCAAATCTCACTACCTCACCCGCTCATTAGCCACTTTTTTGCTTAGGTCGCCCTTTCGGGTTTTCAACCTAACCGGGCCCCCATTTTTGCCTAAGCCGCCTTTTCAGGTTTTCGACTTAGAGGGCTTCTTTTTCTTTTTCTTTTTTCTTTTTTTTCAATTTTTCTTCTTTGTTTTTTTTTTTCTTTTTTTTCATTGAAACATAATTGAAATAGCTATACAAAACCATTAAATTAGGATAACTATACAAATTTCAAAAATATGCAAGAATTGCTTCCCCCCTACTTGAATGAGACATTGTCCTCAATGCAAGAACAACAATAAAAACAAAAGTAAGGGAAAGGGAAGAAATAAGTACCACCTTAATGGGAAGGATTCCCGAAGTTGGAAGATTCGGCATTATCAAGGATTTCAAAACTCTCGAGAAGAAAAATGAACTATGGGGACCCCAAGTGTTGCCCATGGGAAGATTATTCCAACCAAACGCATTTCTAATTACCGCATAAGGCATGACATAGTTCTTATTGTTAAAATTGAAAGAAATTCTTGACATCCCTTAGTCAAAGTGGAAAGGAATTCATATATACCTCACATAAGTAGGTGCGCTCGTGCTCCATCACTTCCTCCAAACCAACCACTTGCAATGCCTCCAAATCGACGACTTTTGTGCATTGCACCATTCTTTTGGGCTGTTGAAGTTGAACCCATGTAGTCTTTTCTTTCGTAGTTAGATGAATGCCCATGAAGTCATTTGCTTGGGGAAAAGAGGGTGATACACCCTCCCTTGAAGTATCCCCTTGTTGTCTACCCCCTTGCAACCCTTGTAGGTGAAGAGGTTGCCTTCACTTGTTATGTCTTCCCATTGCACAAGAACGAATTGCACAAATCTCACCTCCTCTTTCAAAATACAATGAGCAACCCACCAAACCTCCAAACACCAAGGTTCACACAATTCCTCAAATTTCAAGTTTAGAATTTAGAAATTGAAACAATGTTAAAGTTTAATTGGACTTGAAATTGAGGGAAAAGAGGTTAGACGAGGGGTTTTTAAATTTCTGAATTTTGGATTGAAAATGGGGCAAATGGGTTGTTTTGGATAAAGAATACTTGCTAAGGGATAGAGGGAAGTGATTAATTGGGGTTTTGGATAAAGACTAGAATGAATTGGATTGTAGGATTGAAGAAAAAGGGGTTTAAAAGGGCAAAAATTCAGGTATGCAGGGAATGCCGCTGGTAGCGGCTTGGGGCCCGCTGCCAGCGGCTTAAGAAGGAATTTAGGGTGAATGTTGCTGGAAGACCCGCTGGCAGCGGCTTGGGACCCGCTAGCAGCGGCTTGGGACCCGCTGGCAGCGGCTGCTGCAAAAAAAAATATTTTTTTTTTTTTTTTCTTTTTTTTTTTTCTGAAGGACACCCGCTGGCAGCGACACCAGACCCGCTGCTAGCGGCTGGGGCACAACTTTGGGATTTTTTGGCTGCTTGGAGAGCCGCTGGTAGCGGCTACAGAGCAGCTGCCAGCCCGCTACCAGCGACTCCTGCAGGGGCTGCCTCCCAAAGCCTGTTTTTACCTGTTTTGCTCTGCTTTTGCTCACAATACGTACTCCCAAAGCATCCTCCTACATAAATCCACCAAAAGCACTTGGTACATCAAAACAAAAACAATAAAAACTAAAATAAATGAAAACGGGGAAGAGTTTTCGGGTTGCCTCCCGATTAGCGCCTTTGTTTTACGTCGTTGGCTCGACACAACTCATGAAACTTCGTTAATCAATTGATGGCTCGTAGAGATCGATGTTCTCCAAATTCTCGACCTTGAACCCTTCGTAGTATGGTTTGAGCCTTTTTCCATTCACTTTGAACATGTTGTTGGTCTCTAAACTCCGAATTTCTACCGCTCCATGCGGATAGACCTTGTCAACTTGAATTGGACCCTTCCAACGGGAGCTCATCTTGTCATGCCACACCTTATTCTTTGCTTTGTGGTATACCTGGGATAATTTCTTGCCCGGAAATGATGACGGGGTGGGTGTTGCCCCTAGTGGTATAGGTAGAAGCTTGGACTGTTCATTCAATTCCGCCACCTTCACCTGCACATTAGTAGGTATAGAAGAATCCAAGCAATCACCAGACACAACATTAGTAATAGGTGTGAGGAGCTCATCCCCATGATCAATGTTAGAAACATCATGCAATATTGGATCGACAACATTTATAGAATATAAAGAATGAGTATCAACAGGATACTTTATGGTATCATAAATGTTATACACAATTGCTTTCCCATCAACCTCCATAGTCAAAGAACCGGTAGACACATCGATTTTTGTCTTAGCAGTCTTTAAGAAAGGTCTTCCTAACAGGATGGGGGCTGCTTGTTTGTCATGTTCCATGTCAAGGACGTAAAAGTCAGCAGGAAGGATCAATCCATCAACCTTAACAAGTACATCTTTTACTACCCCCTTAGGATATACATTGGACCTATCAGCTAACTGAATTACTACCCCAGTTTCATGCAAAGGCCCAAGTTCTAAAGATTTAAACAGGGAGTAGGGAATGACATTGATTGATGCACCTAGGTCCAACATGGCTCGGTGTAATGTGGTGTCTCCTATTGTAACAAGAATAGTAAACATACCAGGATCACCACATTTTTCTAGGGGTTTCTTTTAGAAAGCTGCAGAAACATGAGCACTCACCTTCACTTTTTTCTTTTCCTCCCAAGCTGTGCTTTCTCTTGATCGTACACAGTTCCTTCATAAACTTAGCAAAACGAGGAACACTTTTAATCACATTCAAGAGGGGCATATTTACCTCACATTTGCTGAAAGTCTCATAAATATCCTTGTCTTTCTCATACCTTCGAGTATCTTGCAAGGCTTCTGGGAAAGGTGGCACAGGCTCATAAGAGGTAAAGGTTGGCGGATTCGCCTTAGTTTCTTGTTCTACTTCCTCCTCCTCAACTCCAATCAAGTCTTTAGCCTTCTTAGGTGCAACTACAGTTTCTTGCAACTTTTTGCCACTTCTCAATGTTATTGCATTAACTTGTTGCTTAGGGTTCAGCTCCGTTTGGAATGGAAGCTTTCCAGAGTCCTTAGCTTCAAGTCGGCTTACTGCACTTGAGATTTGACTGACTTGATTCTCCAGGTTTTGAATACTTGATCTTGTTTCTTGTTGAAACTGCATCATATTCTGCTGCATGGTAGAAACATTAGAAGTTAGTGATCTAATCATTTCTTCAGTTGACATATTACCTGAATTAGAGCTTTGGCCTTGAGGTGTTAGGAACGGTGCCCTATATTGCTGAAACTGTTGTTGACCTTGAGCATGCTGATGTTGTTGGTTTCCTTGGGAATTCCCATATCTCAAATTTGGATGATCTCTCCATCCTGGGTTGTAGGTATTTGAAAAGGGATCATATCTTCTCTGCGGACCTTGCCCTTGAAAACCTAAGGCGTTGGCCTGCTCATTCTGCTCCTCTTGTAATTGAGGACATGCATCAGTGGGATGTCCCATGGAGGTGCATAAACCACAAGCATTCAGTTGCTGTGGATTCCTTGAGTTCACCATGAACTCACGCATCATAGAAGTCAAATCAGCTACTTGACTCTCTAACTCAGTTGTATTCGAATTTGCTAAATTCACCCGGCGCGTGGGAGTTCTCTGACTGAATTGCCTAGAATTTTCTGCTAGCTCTGCAATCAACCTAGTTGCATCTCCTGGAGTCTTATTCACTAGCCCTCCACCACTTGCTGCATTCACCATCCTCAAGTCATCATCAATTAGACCTCCATAGAAGTATAGGATGAGGTCTTGATCGGAATACCCATGGTAAGGACAACTAGCACACAATCTCTTAAATCTCTCCCAATACTCATACAAGGATTCATCTTCCTTCTGATCCACATTGCTGATAGCTTTCTTAAGGCTTGCAGAAATAGTGGCTGGGTAGTACTTCTCAAGGAAACACTTCTTTAAATCTGCCCAAGTTGTTATGCTACCTGGGGGAAGATAGTAAAACCAATCCTTTGCTGCATCTTTGAGAGAAAAAGGAAATGCTCTCAACTGAATTTGTTCATCAGTCATCCCAATCGGTTTCATGCTAGTGCAAACCACATGAAATTCTGCCAGATGTTTATTCGGATCTTCGCCTTTCATGCCATGGAATGCCGGCAATAGATGAATTAAACCGGATTTGATCTCAACATTAGTACCTTCCTCCAACTGCTGGTATGCAATGCACAGCGGTTGTTGGTTCAAGTTGGGAGCTGTGAGTTCCCTTAGAGTTCGATTGTCAGCCATCTCCTCTTCTTCTTGAATATTGAAGGAGTATGTTGATTCACTGGGGGTTGTTCTTGCCTCTTTTCGCAACCTGGAAATATTCCTTTCAATTTCTGGATCAAACTGCAAAACTTCTTTGTTAGCAGAACGGGTACTTATCATACCCTAGCGAACAAACAAAGAAAGATAGCTAAGAACAGTCCTAAAATAAATTCTACTAAGATAAACAATTAAAAAGTAACGCCTTAAGTCCCCGGCAACGGCGCCAAAATTTGGTGTGCCTCAGTCGTATGCAACCAAAAATATCACAACTAAGCTAACTGCAAATAAACGTAGTTAGGGAAGTCGAGTTCGAATCCACAGGGAAAAAGGGACTAATAACTGGAAACCTAAGTGGAAATACTCTAGGACGGTAGTAACCTAAGTAACGAGAGGGGTTTTCACGAGCAATGATGATAAATGAACTAAGTAAGAACAACGAACGTAATGAATAGGTAATCAATGAGAAGAACGGTCTTGGTTATGCGAAATCCACTAATGAACATACAAATTGATCATAGAAGTCTCCTCAATCAAGCTCTATTGAACACCTTGTTGTAGAATTCCTATATTCTAAATTCTCATAAATAGTTAGAAATAGCAAAGCGCTCCTTTCTAACCCTTTCCAATGCACAATTCAAGACAAGCGCTCTAAATTATCCACAAGAAGAAAATAAACGGAGAAATCAACAAGGATTGAATAAATTAACACAAGCGGTCTAATTTCTTCAATAATATTATTCCCTCTTCAAGTTATCAACCAAAAGCATGCATCAATAACCTAAAGTTGCTACTTTGGAAAGATTAATTAGATGCAAGCGAATCCAATAATTCTAACCTAGCAATTGATTAAAGCAAATCATGAAATTAATTCAAGGAACAATATATATTCAATAGATATTAAGAGAAGAAAGATCTCATAATTCGTAGCCAAAAGCTTCAATCTTTAACCAAGAATCCGGAAGATTAAGCTTCCATGGATTCTAATTCCAAAACAAAGAATTCTGAAAATTCCAAGAAAACCCTAGAAAGCTTTTTTTTCTCAAAACTTAATTCTCCTTTTCTAACTTAAAACTTAATTAAAACTAAGCTATTTATATGTTTCTATATTTTAATAACAGAACACAATAATAATAATAAAATAATATCCAAAACACGAGCCAAAACAAAGCCAAATTGCTGAAAATTAACCAAAACAGCCCGAATTTCTGCCAGAGCCGCTGCCAGCTGCTCTGGACCCGCTGGCAGCTGCTCTGGCAGCCCCTCACTCTGGTATACCCGCTGCCAGCGGCTCTGGCCAGCTGCCAGCGGCCCTGGCAGCGGTTCCTGCTGTTTTTTCCTTCTTTCCTTGCTTCTTCTTCTTGCTTTGCTTCACCTTTTCCTCAAGCTTTCTTCCTTGCTCTTCCATGCTCCATCACAACTCTCAAATCACGAGCCAAGGTCCATCCTTCTTACATAACTCTTCATTGGTTCCCGAGCTCACTCACTCACTTATACTCATAAATCCCGCCTTTTGCACATAAGTGAGATCACAGCCCAAAACTCACAAAAGCTAACAAAAGTACATATAAAGCATCAAAACACACCCTAAAATGCTTCTCTCAACCCATGATAAGAAGGCTTATCAGCTTTCGATCGACTCCTTGCCAAGGGAATCATTACTCCTATTAGACCTCTTCAAGATCCCCCACTTGAGAAGAGAGTGCCTAGTTGGAGTCCAAATGTGCGCTGCAAGTACCATCAAGGAAGGGGTTATGCTACTGAGAGCTGTTGGAAGCTAAAAGAGGCTATCCAACATTTGATTGATGATAACAAGCTTCCTATACCTCCAGTTAACAAGAAGAGCGAGTGATGATAAAGCAAACAATACAAGACATAAGGCGAGCTTCAAACGACGAGATTTCATGACATCTTTATTATTTTTCTTTATTTACCCTTTCCCCTAATAAGTCTAGCATAGGCACCTTTATTTTCTCTTAGATTAATTTTGTAGATTCTTTCTTTTTCCTTTTTAATAAAATGAGCATTTATTTTCTTGCATATGATCATTTCATTATATTTCAAAAAAAACAATCCATGTCAAACTAAGCACAAGGTATACCAATGATTTAAGGCACCCCTTGTAGCCACATTGTATTACCTTTCACCTTTCTAATTTATAATCCTTTCTTCGTAAACCACTTTGAGCCTCGTCTAACGATAGACCTTTCTTTCTTCAACTACATCTACCTAACCTTGGGATGGGATAGTGTGCAACTTATGCAGTTTTCAATATCATAAAAAGGTTGAGTGAATTCAAAAGATCAAAATAAATAAAAAAGAAATAGAAAATAATAAAAGTGTACAAACGGGCAAGTGTTCCAATGTCTTTGATATGAAAATGTCTTTGATATGAACACTTCTCTGATTGCGTCTCTTATCGAGTGCTCGGTACCTTGCCTGAGAAACATGAATGCCAAGTGAGTGATAGACCGCACATGTTACAACCCTTAAAAAGACCTTTTTCAGGTATACACACACTTGTGCGAGGTTCGACTAGAGCTACGTTCGGCCTGATTCCTAATGGATACGTAGACAAACTCACATCGAGGTGCGGTTGTAATAAAAATGCATTCATATTCACATTCACACACCATGATCATATCAAGGGACCTCCTATGTTCATCCCTATTTACTTAGAGCTAGACTTGGGGGCTTGATCCCTACATCATTAGCTTACCTAGCCAAAGAGTCACCACCATTTGACTCTTTTCAATATATTTTCCCACACACTTAGCTCTTGCGGCCTAACTTTAGTATCACTTTCACACACATCATAGATACATGGCCAAATATACTTTCCCTTTAGGAACCCTTTGTCATGAAATCTTAACACAACGCTGAAGCATGCCTTGTCATATCAACATCACTCATCACTCATCATTGCATCACGAAGTATGAAGTGCTTAGCCTCCGTGCCTAAGTTACCCAAATGCTTTCATCATTGAGTCAACCATTGAGATAGCCTATGATGGGTTAATCCTTGCACCTTGAGAGATAGTATCAAACAACATTTGGCTAAGCTCATTCAACATGCACCTTCAAAAACTTCGCTTCTTTCTTTTTTGCGTCTTTCTTTTTCGGGAGAAAGTCAGTACCCTCCACAAAAATGATGAAATTTTTTGCTTTTTTGCATTTTCGAGTCGCACGATCACATTACAATGCACACACGAGTCATGTACACATTGAGTCATGTCGTGTCATGTCACTTTGATTTGAGTCTGTTGATGTTTAAAGGTTTTGATGATGAGGAACTTAAACTACAGCAAACTCATTTAATAAAGGTTTTTCAAGTGTTTGTTTAGTTTAGGTGAACTTGATCTTGGAGATGAAAGAAGTAACTGAAACCAAGAAGACTTGAAGAAGTTCTTTATTCAAGAAGGTTATTCGAAATAGAAGAAGTGTTCCCTCACAGGAGCTGAGTTCCCTAACAGGAACGTTCCTTTACAGGAACTTGAAGAAGGCTGGCTAAGATATTTGGAGGAACTTAGTAAGCGTGGAGCTCAAGTAAACCTACCAGTACAGGAGCGCGGCGCAGAAATGATTTATTTAAGATTTTATCTTATAGATTCATTGTTAAATATGTTAAGTAGGATATGCATGAAGTCTATTAGAAGCGTGGCAAGTTAGCTTGGCAAATAAATTAAAATCGGAAAAGATAAAAGATATAATTCGAAAAAGATTTTCCTTAAATGTTTATTTCTTAAAATCAGTTTGTTAAAAAGATATTATGCTTTTTAACTAAATCTTTCTATCTTATTTTTTGGAAAAGATTTTCTTCTAAATGATTTACATAAAAACCGTGTATAAAGATAAGTTAAGTTTAACTTATTTATCTTTAAGAAAACCTACTTGCTATACAAGTAATACTTGTATAAATTGTAGAGAAAAAAAGGAGTTCAGGTTTTTTTTGAGTTTTATGCGTGAAGAATTTACAGAGCTTTAATTGTGAAAGTTTGCCAAGCTTATCATCTTGTCATATTAGTTTCGGGTTTTATGCATAGCTTGCCGATCATATACTAGGTGTCTTTACTTGTAATTGGTTCGGGTTATTGGGTGAGAGTGTTTTTGTTATCATTGCATACAGAGAGAGAGCTTTTGTTGAGAAGTTGAGAAGACCTGTGCTTAGGGAGTACGAGAGAGAGTCTGAGTGTGGGACTTAGACTGGGTAGAATAGAATCCTATTCTGTAGCAGGTTCGTTCAGGAACTTGTGAGTAGAGGTTTGATTATAATAGGTTATAACTTGGTGATTGCCCTATTATAGTGAAATTGTTTGTGTTCGAAATCCCTAAGGTAGGGTCGAGGTTTTACTTCTAGTTGGGCACTAGAAGGTTTCCTCGTAAAATCCTGTGTGCATTGCAAGTTCCTATTTTATTATGTTTTATATTTGAAAAAGTAGTCTCTA